TTAACAAATGAGGGATTGGTGAGGATAGTTATTTAAAATTCAACGACTTTATTCACAAACGTTGCATTTTGTCAATGGTCACCAGCCTCCCAAATGCATCTTCGCCTCGACAGAATAAAAGTTTCGATTCAATTGGACTTTCTGCATAACCTTTTTTGCCTTCCTATAACATTTCGTACGTATGAATAACCCCTTATCTTATATTCTGAAATCAAATATACTCGAAAAGTAACTATCAACATTGCAATTTAACCTATCTTTATCTTAATCATTCAATCTATTCGTATGTCTCGGTCCACCCACAAACAAACCAACTCCACTTCGTTTCCTAAAATACGCTTCCACAACATCAATCATTACGTCATACCACCGGATCCTCAGTGGATAAAAGGGCAGCACGTAGCCCCGTAGAGCTTCAGTTCAGAGCTGCTTCTCGTCGCCTGTTCATTCGGTCCAGTTGATTGTTTTTTCTTTTTGTTTTCATGATGACTTTTCGGGGAATGAGTGGCTGTCTGGTGTGTGTCGCTGTGATGCTTACGATGGTTGGTGTTTTAGATTTTTTCCGTGTTTTATCGTTAGATTTTCATATATTCGTGTGTGATATATATTACGTGTATATTTATGTTATATATACATGTACTTGCGTGTTTACATGTGCATGTATGTGTTTCTTAATCAATCAAGAATATCATAAATCTGACAACCATGGAGAGAGAACATAACGCACGTATTCTTTCCTGTTAACCTTTCCCATATGTACCAATGTTCGTGTTCCTCCCAGACAAGCACCGTGCAGGCAGGTCCTACACTCCACGTGAAGCCCGGATCGTGTCCTTTCCTCCTGGCTCCTCCGCCTCACGTGGAAGGGTTGGCTGATATTTTTTTTTCTTTGTTTCACTTTAATTCTTACTATTGTTCAGTTATCCTTATTCTTTCCTAGTCTTATGGCTATCCATGTTCGTTGCTGAAGGCAAAAAAGTAATAAGAAAATTAAGTATTCTCTTGATGTCATTTTCTTTATTATTATCGTTATCATCATCATTGCTAGTGTTCAACTACTTGCAGGGGGTAAACAGAGTCTTGGGAGGGACTACTGCCCATCAGGCCCCCTACCCATTGACACCCCTACTTAAAACCTTCATGATTAACATTCTACCATTATTATCGAAAACACCAATATTATTAACATTCCAACTTTATCATCACCAGCAAAATTATCATAAACATCCTTCGCATTCTAGGAAAATCATCATAAGCTCCAGCATTATCAACCTTCCAACATTATAATCATAAACATCAGTGTCATTCACATTATGATCATCCCGTCAGCAGCCCGCTTTCCCTTGACTTCCCACCTGATCCCGAGACTTGCCGCTCTGATTTCGACTGTGATGGCCGTATGAAATGCTGCCCGAGTGGCGCTTGCTGTGGTACTATTTGTACTGAACCCGTGGCAGCAATCGGATAGCTGATAAAATCATGGTAGGTTTATAAATATGCATAAATATATATATATATTTTTGGGGGGTGGGTGGGTGGGTGGAGGGAGGGGCAAGGGAGGAATGAGATAATAAGTTTGGAAAAGTATCAGTGTCGGATCTGGTTTTGGAATATTCTACTATCCGTTTGATAACTTGTAAGCTTTCGGTTTTGATAGTAAATAAATACTTTCTGGTGAACATGTATGGGTTTATTATTTTGTGGATGGCGATGGACCTATGACATTTGGTCTTTTTAATTGCAGGTTATTAAGAGTCGACTGCCTTGAAGATAACCGTGGTTCAGCGAGAGCGGTCGTCAGATGGCTGTAATGGTAAAGATTGTTGATCCTTCAGAATAAAATTTGAATGAATCAATTTGTTTGATTCGTAATAGGTTGCCTCTTGTACCCTATCTGATATGACTGATCTATACGCATACACCCACACACACACACACATACACACACACACTATATATATATACACATATATATATGGTAGAAAAACCCACAATGTAAAAACTAGATATATTGAAAATGAAAATGAGACGACAGTTTCGGAATCCACCTGGATTCCATCCTCAGGTATGACCTGAGGATGGAATCCAGGTGGATTCCGAAACTGTCGTCTCATTTTCATTTTCAATATATCTAGTTTTTACATTGTGGGGTTTTCTACCAAAGTATCAACACGGTAGAGTGTTTTCCTCATTCACACACACACACACACACATATATATATATATATATATATATATATATATATATATATATATATATATATATATATATATATGTACACATATATAGTTATAGTTGCCTGTCACTCCTGTGGAGCATTGAACGACTTCGGCAATGTCGCTCATGAGCATAGAGCCCAATCTGGTGCGAATATCTGCCGCAAAGGTGACAGTTAAAATAAAGCAAATCAGCTTAAGGAACAGTGTCTTGGGCGGCCCTTCTGGCTTACTTTCGACTGCGCTCTGCTGTCTTCTCGGCCGGAAAGTTGTCTACGATGGAACCTCTGACAATGGACCTGGACCGGTCCTGTCTGTTGCTTCCTGTTCTCAGGAGTCGATTTCAGTGTCACAGGCCTTGAGATGTCTCTTGAGACAATCCTTTGAATCTTAGCTTGGGTCTGCCTCATATTTCTTGGTCCTTCGATAAGTTCGCCATAAAACACAGCTTTGGGGATCTGTGATTCCTCCATGCAGACTACATGACCAGTCCATCGCAGCTGGTTCTGTGTCAGTAGTGCCTCGACCCTGGGAATGCCTGCTTCTTTTCGTAGTTATACATCGATGATCTTGCCCTGCCAGCGGCTTTTGAGACGTCCCAATTGATACATCTGAATGCGCTCAAGTCTCCTAATGTGACGACGGTACAGGATGTACGTTTCAGATCTCATTTGGTTTCCGGACCAGAGACGGTGTGGGGGGTCTTCTCTCTCCATTCCCCAGTGTCCAAAAGGCTCACTTCTGAGAGAGCAGCAGTGTCCACTCCAAAAGCATCTAGCTCCATGCAAAGCAGCGTAATACGTCTTTTGGGTAGGTTGTTGTTGTCGAGGAGCACACATATATAAACATATATGTACACACATATATACATATATATGTTTATGTGTGTGCGCACACACACACAAACATATACATATATTACGTAAATTACACACACATACATACATATATGTGTATGTGCATGTGTGTATAATGTATAAATATTAAGGTAAGTGATTACTCACACATACGAAATGTTATAGGGAGGCGAAAATGGTTATGTAGAAAGTCTAACTGGTACAGATAAAACCGAAACTTTTTTTTCTGTTGTTGTTCCTGTTCTCAGGAGTCGATTTCAGTGTCACAGGCCTTGAGATGTCTCTTGAGACAATCCTTTGAATCTTAGCTTGGGTCTGCCTCATATTTCTTGGTCCTTCGATAAGTTCGCCATAAAACACAGCTTTGGGGATCTGTGATTCCTCCATGCAGACTACATGACCAGTCCATCGCAGCTGGTTCTGTGTCAGTAGTGCCTCGACCCTGGGAATGCCTGCTTCTTTTCGTAGTTATACATCGATGATCTTGCCCTGCCAGCGGCTTTTGAGACGTCCCAATTGATACATCTGAATGCGCTCAAGTCTCCTAATGTGACGACGGTACAGGATGTACGTTTCAGATCTCATTTGGTTTCCGGACCAGAGACGGTGTGGGGGGTCTTCTCTCTCCATTCCCCAGTGTCCAAAAGGCTCACTTCTGAGAGAGCAGCAGTGTCCACTCCAAAAGCATCTAGCTCCATGCAAAGCAGCGTAATACGTCTTTTGGGTAGGTTGTTGTTGTCGAGGAGCACACATATATAAACATATATGTACACACATATATACATATATATGTTTATGTGTGTGCGCACACACACACACACATATACATATATTACGTAAATTACACACACATACATACATATATGTGTATGTGCATGTGTGTATAATGTATAAATATGCATGTGTGTATATATATGTACATATATATACTTATGCATACGTTGCATACACACACATACACGTACATACATACAGTATGTATGTGTATGTATGTCTGTATATATTATATACATATCCGGATGAGCAAGGTGAGCAAGCGGCTCTGAATTGAAGCCATACGGGGCCACGTGTTGCCCTTTTATCCACTAAGGGTCCGATGGTATGGCGCAATGGTCGCTGCTGGGGAAGGAAACAAAGTGGAGTCGGTTTGTATGTGGGTGGACACAGCCATGCTTTACACAATATTTGACTTCGGAATATAAGGTAAGTGATTACTCACACATACGAAATGTTATAGGGAGGCGAAAATGGTTATGTAGAAAGTCTAACTGGTACAGATAAAACCGAAACTTTTTTTTCTGTCGAGGCGAAGATACACCAACCACTCATTTGTCAATTACTAACCTGTTAATGAGTAATTTCGGTTAAAAAGCGTGGAGCATATAGATCTGTAGTCTTTCGGAAGGTGCACCAAGGAATATACGACACCGTTTTTTCAGTCAAAATTGTTTCTCCCGTCAAAATAAAGACAAATCAATAAATAGATAAAATTAGTTTTTTCTTGTTCCATTACACATGCAATTTTGTTGCTATTCTAAAGCCGAATTTACATCATTGGAAAATATTAAATCATTAGAAAATACTAAGTTTATTAGCTTATGTTTCTTGGAATTTATCTTGATAACTTTTTGTTTTTCTATCATTTTCTTTAGTGCTCTGAAAAACAAACAAACAAAAAAACAGTACCATTTATAGCACTTTATTATTCAGTCAATACATTTGCAGCCATCAACAATAGATTGAAAAATGCCAGCAGCACAAATTTTACTTTGAAGAAATGTAGGTAATATGCTTGCCTGTGGGTGTGTACCTGCATATTTAGCCTAATCTATGCATTGACTGAACTAATAACCTGCTTTCTGCTATAAATCCAGAATCAGTTGTCATTCAGTGGTGGGACCCAAAATAAGGATCTGCACATATTCTAGCGTTGGCTTCAGGAGCTCCAAAGGGACAGCACTTTTGAATCGTTGGGCAGTCATAGTCATTGCGACAAGGGTTCCTGTGCGGGAGGAAAACGGGACTAAGAACAGGTTTCTACTATAAACTAATCTAATATATAGGCACATGAATTACTGCTATGATGTATAGACGTGACAATAGCATTAATTTGCATTTCAAAACAATGAATGTCACATATTTGATTTCATTTAACACGCTTTGTAATAAACATGAAATAAACAGTATGCTTACTCATGGCCAGGTATTTTGGGGGTTTTGAGCCCGGGGCATAGGCCAGGTTTTTCTTTAATGACAGGTGTTCCACAAACAAAACTTGCCTAAGAGAAAAGTATAATACATTAGCATGTGTATATATATGTGCATATTTATGTTTATCTATATATATTATATACACATTCATGTATGTAGAGGGTACACATCCGTATTTACATATGGAGTGTATTACATATGTACAGGCGCAAACACACACACACAACAGTGTGTGTGTGTGTGTGTATCTGTATATGCATATACATAAATATGTATGTATGCATATGTATACGTATATGTATGTATAAATATACATATATATGTATATATGCATGTATACATACATATAAATGTATATATATGTATATGTATATAGCATAACAACTGCATATCTCACCATCAGCAGAGCAGCCAGAACAAAACACAAGCGCAATGCGAACGAGGCCATTTCGCAGACGAGAAGCAGGAGTCCCTTTTCCACCGCTGACTCGACTATCTGTGTCGGCAGCAGCAGTGAGCTGGACTTAAATAATGAGTGTCGACGGTCACTGGGAAGCAACGCAAGTATTATCATTAATATACTATGCCAGGAGGCTTCCACGTGCAGGGTATTTCCCAAATGGAAACTGTGATCCTTTCCCTGTATTTTTACTTTGTTTTTCTTTCTTTCTTTTTACTCAGGTTGCGTCATGCTGATATTGTTATTGGATTGGATTATCGCCGTTGCTATTATAGTTCTTTGTTGCCTGGTTCAATCTCTCTTCTTCCTCTTCCTTTTCATGTTGTAGTTATTAACTATGGGTAATATCATGGTCAGTATTTCCGTTAGGATCACTATTATTTGCACTGATACTTTCTTGTTGTATGTCACCATTCATGAGAATACATAAAATCTAACAAGCAATTCGTAATTATTTTAAAATATAGATATTATGTCTGTAGCTGAAGAATGTCAAGGCTTATATCTGGAATGGTTGCCGTGTTGCGAAAGAAATCACGTATTTTGGCATTATTTTCATCTATGTGTGTACTTATGTATATTTGTACACACACATATATATTCATTCTGTATTTTATTATGATGGGCAAATTTGAAACATATCGAACCAGTCTCAGATCTGAGCTTTCTTTTTCACAACGGCTGTGTTTCATCTATATTTTTCACGTTACCTCCTTTCTGTTTTGTTCTAAATGATGAATTTTACCGGTCAAAGGACCTTTTCTATACATACAGAACAACTTCAGTTCCTAAAGTGTCGAGAGAGAAATGTGACTTCAAGGCACATGCTGTTTTACTTTTTCAGTATTTACAAAGCAAAAAACTCCAGTTTGTTAGCAAAACGTGGTAAAACACCAAACTAGATTTGGAAGTCTCTTTTTTTATTATATCAGAAGGTGTAACACGAACGGTCTAATGCCATGATATTACTTATATGGATTAGCCTTACGGCTTTTTCAAAAACACATACCTACACACACCCACACACACATATATCTACCTATCTATCTATCTATGTATATATATATATAATATATATAAAAATATATATATACATATATATGTAAGTGTGTATATATACATATATATATACGTATAATATATATAAATGTATATATATATGAAAGATGGAATAATGCAATGCCGCATTGATATAGATATATAACAATCCTTCCGACCAAGCCTCGAACGTAGGTCATTCCGGATATGAAACCGGAGGGCCAGTACTAAACCAACCATGCCACACGACCCACTAAAAGGAGTGTGCAACTAGGATGTAACTAGCTCCACAGACATTACCTATCTACTCAATACATGAGTAATGATAGCGAGGTTTCACACACACTCCCCGTGGGCACTCCGTGGAAATTGATTTAGAAATTCGCTATCATTACTCATGTATGAGTAGATAGGTAATGTCTGTGGAGCTAGTTAGATCCTTTAACACAGAAATAACCTAATTTAATAGAGCTTTAGCAATTTTGTAAAACAAAAAAACAAAAAAAAAATTGCTTATCAACTGCTCCTAATGCCATACTGTTACCCCCTACCGACAGGATGACATTAGTAGCAGTTAATAAGTAATTTGTTGTTTTGTCACAAGGCTGGGATATAGATAGGTATACTAAATGAGGTTTGTGAAATATAAATTTATGTTTAATCTTGTTGTTTCCAAAGTAAACCATACAGAAAAAAAGGATTGCATTCCCATGTGTGTGTGAGGGGGAGGGGGCGCTAAAAATCCACTTGGAAACCGAGGGGGCGCTAGCCTGGAAAAGTTTGGGAATCACTGGTCTAAATTATCATTATCTGTTAAGAATATGTATGGCATTTTTGATATTTCCTTCAAGTTTTCCTTCAAGTGAGTGGAGAAGAAAAATATATATAAAGTATAGGTCATAGAAAAGTTTCAGAAGGAACTGGAAAAGTCCGAAGTAATTTGGATTTTGAAAGAGCATTCTTAATTTTCTCATTCAGTCTACATATCTATTAAATTGTCTAATTTTTTGGTTAGGTTAGACCAAATAAGAAGTAATTGCTGAAATTAGATTCCTAAATAAACCAGGTTCGCTCTGTCTGACGATGAAGCGCATAGTATCATAATATTGTATGCATGCACGTGTTTGTATGTCTCTGTCAATGTATCTATTTGTGTCTCGGTAATGTATGTGTGTGCTGGGCCGCTCTAGCCATTTTTACGTCCTTGGCAAGGTCAAGTTTTGTCGCCTCTCCCTCTCAAACACCACTGCCAATGTATAACACATAATGTATATCAAATATCAACTCAGTAGCTGCAGATTGATGTCATCTCGTTGCAGAATATGTAAAGGGCACGCATGACGTGTTTAAGTTTATATATCTTTATTCTTTCTATCATATTTTTTCTTTTTCTAGGGAACCTCCTGTAGAAGGCAGCGCCTTAGATGACCGCTTGTTTACTTATGCCATAAGCCGGCCCTGTGTGTGTTTGCTTCTGAGTTTGAATATATGTGTGTGTGTGTGTCTATATATATATATATACACATATGTACTGTATATATATCTATATATGTGTATATATCATATATATATATTTATATATGTATATATATGTGTGTGTGTGCTTGTATGTAGGTGTGTGAACACACACTTTTATATATATATATATATGTGTATGTATCTGTGTAAACATACGTATATATACATACACACACGCATATCTATCTATCTATCTATCTATCTATCTCTCTCTCTCTCTCTCTCTCTCTCTCTCTCTCTCTCTCTATATATATATATATATATATATATATATATATATATATATATATATATATATATATATATATATATATATATATATATATATATATATATATATATATATATATGCATATGTGTTTGTCTATATATGCATATGAATATATATGTACAAATACACACATACAAATACCTATATCTATATGCATATATAAGTATATAGTGTTACGTATCTGTCGTTCCTTAACAATAACACCAGTTGTTTCAGTACGGGGTGCATAATGGAACCCAATCTAAGGTAATGGAATTTTATATCAAGTATAATCAGAATTCCTAAATATCCTTTTGTTTCTTTTAATTTCATGCCCACAGTCTAATCAGAAGTCCATGGCGTTCTTATGTGTTAGTTGTGTTGTAATAACCACTTCTTAATTATTGTTTATATTGCTTATTTATGCTTATGTTTTAACTCTGTTACAGCCATCAATGTTAATCATTATTATCAATAGATATTTACTACTTACTCCCCAGTTATCAAGATGTCTGGCTCGTGTTTTCAATGTTATAATCACCTCGATTATACATTCGTTTCTATTCTATTTCTTCTTAGCTTTCCCTTTTTTGTAGTATTGTAGATTTAGAGTAATAGAAAGTAAGGTAGGGAGTGCAAAGCCACTTTATAAATAACTTATATTCACCGGTTGATCACCAGATCCGTAAACATGCATGGGCACAACAGACCGGAAATACAGGGTGACAAATAAGGCCATCGTCACTTCCCTCTACAAGCCCGTCCGAAGCCCTTTCTCGCCCTCCGCCCTACCCGCTGCAACCCCATTCGGAGCCGAACCCGAACAAACCCCATGTCTCGTCCGCGCATACAGGTTCCGTCAGTCTGTTGCACTCGGAGTAAAGCGGTGTGAGGTCATGCAGAGGTCATGCATGGGTTGACGCTCATGCGCAGTTGATGGATATGAATACATATATATACATACATATACATATATATATCTATATATATGTGTGTGTGTATAAACACATACACAGATGTATGCATTTATGTATGTACCCAAACAGAGGGAAATAAAATCAAACCAAAAAGTGACATTCACTCTTTCCTTTTCCAGATACAAATCTCTCCTTACCCACCAACCCAAACCAGCCAACCACGACTCACGAACCGAAACTCCTGTGGCTCCTAAGCTTCGGGTTCGTAGCAACCGGAAGTGAACCCGCCCTGACCCACGCAACAGAGATAGCCGGTCGGGCAGTCGCTGTCGCGGGCGCATTCGCAGTAAAGACGCCTCGGGTCGGCATCGGCAGGGTACTTTTCAGCGCTGTTAGATTTGAAGAAAAGAGTTAGTTCGGTCTTTATTGGTATTTTAGGTGTACCGTTTAGTAGGTGTCGTTTTTTTATGTGTGGCTGTTGTCATTTTGGAGAAATAAAATCATATCACCAAATATTATGAACGTATGGCGTCGCGTGCCAATATGAAATCACATAACTACACACAAAAATGAATATACAAATAAACTGAGCAAGAGAAAATAAGTGTTTACCTCAGATAGGCGGGACATTTCCCTGCCAATTCCGAGTAGCTGATCCGACATACAGGGGATTCTGATTTCACCCCAACTTCTGACTGAAAAAAGGGTATTATATATCTAAACTTTACAAATATCACAGTGGGAAGGACACTGACAATCTTTTTTTATAACTCATAAGGGAAATTATTTGAGGAACGAAAAATAAAACTCATCTACGTTTATCATTCGATAACTTGTATAATTTGTATTTTTCGTTTTATGAAAGAATGTAAAATAAAGTGAGTGCAAACTATGCAGTTTTACAGCTAGATAGTAGTTATACAAATTACAACTGAGCATTTAAATCCTTGAATTTGCCTCTAAAAGGTAATTTGTCTCTCGTCACAGCCTGAACATACCATTAGAACCACAACGAAAACAGCACACAGTGTAAGCCTTAGCGATGCCATGGTTTCCCTTCGTTTATTGCAAATTTTCTACTGGCATGAACAAGCCTTGTGAACGCAATATATAGTGGGTGGAGTCCATCTGACTTATCATCCTCTATCACGTGACCCTGAATCATGCTGTGTGTGTTTGGAACGGGATTTGGTAAAGTAGGAAAACTTATATTCACTTTCTTGGCAAGGGTTTGAGCCTTGAAAGGATGATAATTGGTCCACAGAAAATGTTTTGTGGACTGCTTATTCTCGGAACTGTGACGTAAGCGGTTAAGTGTTATCCAGGTTGTTCATCTTATTGTCAAACAATTTAGATTTTACATATATTTGGGGGGTTTACCTATCAAGTGAATGCACTGATAAGATAGACGAGAGAGAGAGAGAGGGGGGGGGGGCTGAGATGAGTTTGTGTAGCCATGGAAACGAGAACAAACACACATGGTCGTTCATATAAAAGGTAGACCTATACACTCAAATATCACACAATATAACAAACAAACTGTCTTAAATATCGTTTTAAAGTGATACACAAACATATAACTCCGTCAATTCGGAGAAAGTGAACAACAGTCCTTCTCCAGGTGAACGCCTTTGGGCTTCAACTTCGTGGAAACGGGTTTACGTCAATAGATATTATGTACAGTCTTTGCTCAGTTACCCGTGTGCAGTTCATGCTAGTTATGTTTGTCTTTCTTGCTCTTCTTGGCCAATGCCTTTCGTTCACAAAGTATGATGTACTTTAGGTCTGTAAGTGTTAATTGTTTCTAGTTTTGATATTAAAAAGTTCCATGAATTAAAGAGACAGTGGAGACCTTCGCTTATAACGCGTATTTCAGCAAATGTATGATTACATATAAAAAGGGTAATTTATTAAAATATCTAAAAAAAATCATTTTTATTCTTAAATACACGGAAACATCCTCGAGTTTACCTAGACATTGTTGAACCACAAGGATAAAACAATTACTACACACATAATCTTTCCCTATTAATTACTTGTACATCTCGTGACATGACTGTCCATTCTTATAATAATTTAATGATTTTTCTAGGCCATACTCAGCCTCTGATTCTCTAATACTTTGGGTTTACTAAACATACTGCTTAATCCATTGCCGCCAGGGATGGCATGTACGTACATGCCATGCCCACTGTGAGTCTTGTTTCGATTGTTTTTACACATAGATGGCTACACTTTTACTAAGTATCCAATGAGCCAATTACGAGTACTGCCTGTCTCGCCCGTTCACCCTTTTCATCGATTTACGAAAATATTTAATGTTATCCTAATTTGCTGTTAAAAATAACACCATCTATATTTATATCACTAGTAAAAATACTTTTCCCGCCAATTTAAGGAAAGGTGAAATCAGGGCTAGCAGAGCCATCTATGGACAGAGATATTTCACAAAAAATATAAAAAATGAATACTGCATTTCCCCCATTTTTTTTCATTTTCCTCGGCGGCAATGAGTTAAACCCTTGGTGGCAGTAGAGCAAGGGATGTCCACGGGATTCATTCTAAATGTGACAATGGCATTTCAGATGTATAGATTGATGATAAATTGGCAAAACTTTAGAAAAAAGAGAGAAATATGCAAAAATAAAGCTTCTTGGTCTTCTTAATGAGGGTGAGGCCCAATGTTGGGGATCAGCTCTGCCTTGGCCCTCAGCTCTCGCCTCAGATAATTTTGCATGGTCTTTTCTTCTTCCTTTCCTTTTCCTTCTCTCCTTTACTCCCTTCTTTTGTCCACTTATCCTAATCGTTAATCTTTTTTACCCTTCTCTCTACAATACTTTATCATAGCGCTATATGACAAGGTAGAACAGATGAGGCAAATAATCAATTATAGTTGATTAACTCTCTCTCTCTCTCTCTCTCTCTCTCTCTCTCTCTCTCTCTCTCTCTCTCTCTCTCATATATATAAACACACACACACACACACACGCACACACACACAGACATATATATATATATATATATATATATAT